CATATTTAGGGGCTGGAGTGATGGCTCAGCGGTTAAAACACTGGTTGTTCTTGCAGAAGACCCGGGTTCGAATCCCAGCACCCACATGGCAGCTAACAACTGTCCGAAACTCCAGTTCCAGGGGATCCAACAGCCTCTTCTGTTCTCTGTGGGCACACAGGTGCACTTACCTACACACAGGCAATACACGTATACACATAGAAATAATAAAATATTAAAAAAAAATTTTAGACATATTTATGTGGTTATGTGTGTGTGGAGGTGCATGTGCACATGGATGCTTGGGCATGTAAAATAGGTGAATCTTGGGTGTAGTTTCTTAGGAGCTGTTCTTAGTTTTATGAGACAGGGTCTCTCATTGGCCAAGAACTTGCTGAATAAGCTAGCAATCCCCAGGGATCATCAACCTGTTTCTACCTCTCCACAGAGCTGGTATTATAAGCCTGGCTTTTTCATGTGGGTTCTGGGGATGAACTCAGCTATTCATGCTTCCAGAGTAAGCACTTAACTGCTGAGCTAGCTCCCCAGCATTCAACATCTTTAACAATTTCATATATAAAAAAATTTAAGTATAGAAATTTATTTTAACTACAGCAATCTTTAAAATGTACTTTGTAATGCCTAAAGAAGCCAGAAGAAAGCACTGGATCCTTAAGAACTGAAGTTAGGATGGTTGTTAGCTGCTATGTGGGTGCTGGGAACCAAACCTCAGTCTTATACAAGAGCAGTTAGTACTTTTTAACTGCTAAGCCATCCCTCCAGCCCTAAAATATGTACTTAAAAAAAAAAAAAACATTTTAAACTTGAAATTTTTTTTTGGGGGGGGGTCTTTTTGAGACAGGGTCTCCCGGTAGCCCCAGCTGCCCTGGAACTCACAGAGATCCACCTGCCTCTGCCTCCCAAATGCTGGGACTACAGGGATGCACCGCCACGCCCGGCTTATAATTTATATTTTAAAGATATTTTTCTCACTTACCTTTTTCTTTGTCCACTCTAATGACAACTACACATTCATTCCTGCCAATTCGGATGAGTTTGTTTATAGAACGGATACGTCTTCTGGATAATTCACTAAGAAGAATCATGCCTTCAATGTTGTTGTATTCCAACAAGCTGACATAAGCCCCCATTTCAGCAATGGACCTTACATTCACCATCACCACATCTTCTACCTCAGGAAATTTGTGTTGATAAAATCTACAACTTAGACCCGGCATTCTGCAATTTAAACAAAATAATCAAATGTCTAGTTAAGGGAAAATAAATGTCAATTTGTAGGCCTCAACACTGAAAGAACATAAATAACAAAGAAAAAGACAATCACTAGTCTTCTTATTCTTTAAACTTATTATATGCTGGGATAGCTATCCAGGAACCAAACTTTAGTTTTTATTGCTCCACATTTTTGGTAAGGCTTAGGTGATTACTTTTAGAGCAATCATAAAATATAATGACCATCTATAAAAATACTGTGGGAACTAAGGATTAAAGGAATACCTCAAGAGTAAAATACTATTTTAATATTACCACTTTAAGTAAGATGTCATGGTGCACACCTGTAATCCCAACACTCTGGAAGTTGAGCCAGGAGGATCACAAATCCAAGGACAGCCTAGGCTACAGAGCAAGAAGCTACCACAGAACAAAGCAAAGCAAAAACAAACAGAAAATTAGCATCCTCTCAACATTTTAAGGAAAATATAAGGAGGCATCAGTAGCATAACAGAATTATACCATTACCTATCAGCAAACCTAAGCAAATTTTTCTATAAGCAGGTTGGTCTATAAAGAGAGAACTCTGACTACCTAAACTTTAACCAATACACCAAATGTTCTACCCATACAATTACTCATTTATTTACCTATTTATTGTGTTGGAGACTGAACTGCATTCCTAGGTACATGCAAGGCAAATGTTTTCTTTTGATCCCCAGGTTATCATTATAGTCAAAATTATAGCACCAAACATCAAAGAAAATCTAAAAATATATTCAAAATAATGAAACGAAACTTACATCCTTTGAAAACATGTGATTTTAATTCATAACTTATTTATTATTCCCCAGTAATTTGACGAGTGAGGATGTGGCATATGCTAAGGGTACCCCTCCTTCAAGATGGACTACAGCCCTTCTATTTTTATGTTCTTGAACAGGTATGCCTAATCTTGATAATAGCTTTATAAATCTACAGATGGTTTCTCTTAATCTCTATACATTAAAGAATTTTTAATTTATTGCCTTTCATCCACCCAACCAATCCAGCACCATCTTTTTTGTGAACCCATGAGCTAGATAAATCATATCAGACAACAGTATAGGAAACTCTCAAACTAACTGTGGCTCATGACTTTTATGTCTTCCTATCAATTTTAACCTATTTACTGTTATCAGAGCTCAGAAGATAGCTAGTGAGTAGCACCTAAAGTCCAAGGAAAATTTGTCAACACATCCAGCATATGGAACAGCAATGTTCTGCCACAGTACGGTTTGAGAACTAGTACCTTAGCTGAGTGTGGGAGCACAATCCTTTCATCCCAGCAGAGGCAGGCAAATCTCTGAGAGTATTACCTGGAGTCACAGATAACTACCACTGGGAAGATGTGGGATTTAAATGTCTTTCTATTATTTAGAAGAACTGAAGTTGGCTTATCTAGCTCCTGGAGATAACTCTCTTTACTTCTCCCCATTTTTTAGATTAAGAGACAGGTGCAGGTTGAGGAAGTTGCTCCTTTGTATACTAATTATGAAATAAAAGTCATGACCTGGATATACAGAATTTAGATCCATAGTTTGTGCTCTTATAAATGAAAATATATTATTAATAAATGTTATAATTAGTAACATCTTACACAAATGAAAAGCAACACTAATATACATATTCAGTATTGGAAGCCTGTACCACAAATTAGTCCAAACTATTTGGACAAAACTGACAGTACTGTTTGACAATCTGCAATATATGTGGGAGAAACTGAGCTCTCTTACAGCTCAACAAAATGGGGATTTAGTAAACAAAGAAAGGTAGACACTCAACTAGAATTATCCATTAGGAACTAGCTGTTTCATTTTCAAGCAGGACTTTTTTTTGAGGGTAGGGTACAACTGTTTTCAAATCTGTATAACAGAGAACTTGAGAGATTAAAAAAACCTTTCAAACTAAGCATCAAAATAAATGTTATGGACATGTGTGGAAGAGTTTTAAGAGATTTCGAGGGCATTAATCGTATTTACTCACCAAGTTTCCCCACACGGTAAAGGCAAAAGGTAAAAGGGAGATAGGACTACTACTTTAGAAGGCACAAATCTGTTTGCACCCTATGAATAATGGAATACTGCTGATGGTATGGTACTCATAGTAAAGATAGAAAGTAGCCGGAAACCGCAAAGGAATCCTTACAAACAACTTACATATGGACGACAGATAGTGACATTATCACTTTATGAAATGCTAGTAGCTTTAGCAATTAAAAGAGAAAAAAAAACCCCTCTTTATTAAACTGTCAAGGAAACAGAAATCACATCAAGTGTGGGAAAAGACACTCCAATTCTATAGAACTCCGAAACTTGAAAAACACAGTTCAGAGTTTCTTCCTTGAGTAACACTCAATGGGGGAGAAAACTCAAGACTTCTCTTATACATCCTTTCTCCAAGAAACACTTTTTTTAAATGAAAACTGAAACAGCCCAAATTTGGGGGATAATTAAAGGGACCCAAGAGTCTGAACACACATTTAACTCTAGTCTAAAGTGTTCCTTAACCTAAAGCTCTCGGCGATGGATAATTACAAGATCCCAGTTTTGTTCCCACAGCTGCCGAAATAGGGCAAACTGATACTAACAGTAATAAACTCTTCAGTAGTTAATACTTAAGTTTCAATCCAACGGATGATCCATTCTACAGAAATGTACAACTGGAGCGAAAAGGTAACAGGCTTCCACTTTAATTACCATTACAAACTATCTCGGACCCAGCTCTTTTAAATATGGTGGTCTGCCCTACTGGTTCTTATAAGAGTTCAGTCTGGTTTCCACTGAGAGTCAGAGGAAAGTTTTGGTAGTATCGCTGGGGCGAAAGAGGAAACTAATTCCCAGGCTCGGGGAAAGCGAAGCACTTAGGGTCTCGGGGCAGGGATCGGGTGTCACAGAGTGTTCTCCCGAGGCCTCCCCACAGGGTATCTTTTCTTTAAGCATGTTGGGGAGGCTGGAACACCCACTCTCCCCACTTTCCTTCCCGGGGTTCTTCCGCTGGTACAACCTTGTTTCTCACATACAGAAAGAAGCACCCAGCGGGAGAGAAGGCCCAGGGCAGCCCCGCTGGGCGGTGTCGGTGTCCAGACACTTCCCGCGCAGGGACTGGGAAGGGAGGGGGGTTAACTCGGGCCTGACCTCCCTTCCACGCCAGACACCGGACACACTAAAGTGAGTTCTTGAGGAAACAGCGCTGCGGGTTGGTCACCTGAGGGCTAGGTGTGAATCCCGCACTAGGGTCCCACGCCGTGCTCCTTAATGGCAGCGATCAGACTAGGTACACCGCACCGGACGCCGAACCTCAGCGTGCGCTTCGCTCAGCCCCACCGCGCATGCGGAGCCGCCTCTCACTGCGCAGGCGCCGAAAGGAAAGGGCCTTCCTCATCACCAACCATAGAGTCTGTGTCGTCCCAAACTGGGAAGACCTGAAAAGTGCGTCTTCTCGCTACTTACAGCTCTTGCTAAGGAAACCCCAAGGCTCAGGGAAGAAATAAGATTCGGATTTCTTGTTCCAGAAGCGTGAATCCTTTGTCAAGGTTTAGTCAACCAAGAGGTGGCGCTATGACTAAAGGCGGAAAGCAGAGGAAGCCTAGGGGCGTGATTCTCCCCTCGCTGGTCAGCCAGCGCGTGTAGTGGTTTGCGCAGCCGCCGAGGTTCCCTGGGGGGGAGGGGCGCTGAGGCCAACCGCGGACTTCCGCGATGCGCGCGCCTCTACATCCGGGCATTCAGCACGCCAGCGCGCCCCGCCCGCCCGATCCGGGTCGCAGCAGGAAGCGGAAGTGGAGGCCGGTAGCCCTGTAGCAGCTCAGCAACGTAAGGGGGGCGTCAAGTGATACAGTCTGCTGACTCCGGTAGGGAAGGCCGCGGCGGTGGCGTTTCCGGAACCTCGATTGCCCGGGTGAACCGAGCCCCGCAGTCCTCGTCAGAATGTCGGGCAAAGACCGGATCGAAATCTTCCCCTCCAGAATGTAAGTACTAGACGAGGACGAGCGGCGTTCGGTTCTGGAGCGTCGGCCGACGCACCGTCCAGCCCCCGACCCCAGCCAGCTGCCTTGTTTTCTGCGTCGCCCCTGAGCTCTCCCTCAGGGGGGGAGGTTTCTTTTAATACCCCGCTGCATGGTCCTTCTGGGTGAACCCGCCTGGAGAAACCGATCCCAGCCCGGAAAGAAGGGACTTTTTTTGCCTGCTGATACTTTGCTGGAGGCCCGCTGCGCTGTGCTCATTCATCAGTCATTCCTTGCACACACCCTCGTCGAGCCACGCACTGGGTTTACATTACCTAACTGAACTGTCGCCATCTCTGCCGCCCGGGACTCCGTGTTTAGTGAGAAGTAGAAGCCAGGGTGTTTGATAAATGCTCTGAGATGGGAAGTTACGTGATGGTCACTAAGCTGAAGTGAAGGTTGAATGAGTCTCCGTGGTGTAGATTCCTCATTCAGTGTTGGATTCCCTTACTCGTTTTCCAAAATCCCATCAGATGTCACATGCTGTGAGAAGATACCCCTGCGTTTCTGAGCCCCTCTCCCCCCGCATCGTTATAACTGAACTTTTTCCTTTTACTTGTTTTGTTTAGAAACACGGTCTCTTGTAACCCCAGCTGGCCAGGTACTCGCTATGTAGGTAAGGCTAGCCTCAAGCTCAGAAATCCCCCTGCCTCCCCAAGTGCTGCCAGGCGCCACCAGTTTTCCCTCCCTCCCTTTTCCTCTCCACTCTTTCCTACCTCTAGTAATGGCTCATGACTTTGTAATGTGGATATTTGTTTACTACATGTCTTCCTTTGCCTTGTGTCAGTCTTTGGGCCCTCTCCAGTATTAGGTATTTTGCTAATGCATAAAAGGTCCACCAAAACAAAGTTCTTTGAACCGTTACCTTGTGATTTGCCTAGTGGCAGGCTACCTTTCTCTTGTCCTGACACCTTTGTCAGGAGAAATGACATATCATGGTGTTTGCTCAGTTTTGTAAAGGAAATTTTGAAGTTTTCTTAAATATGAATTATAACTTGGGGAGTTTTAAAATCACTCTTATTTGTGCTCTCCTTGTTTTGTCATTGAAGGAGAAAATCAGTTTTCAGTCTTGATAATTAGATATTTTCATTGTGGTCCTTTTGGGGAGTAGTGCTGGTATGGTGTAGTTTTCCTCATCTTGTTCTTTTTCTCACAAAATCTGAGGACACTTAAAACAGCTATATTCAAACCCCAAGCCTGAATTTCTGTCTCTGCCAGGGTGTACGTAGGTAGCTCTTAATGAAAAGTTTACCCCCCACCCCAGTATATATTTTGGTCTTCATTGATTTTTTTTTTAATGACTAGATAGGAAACTAGCTAGTGTGGAGAAATGCCTGTGAGGCAGATAAGATCAGAACTCTTAGCATATAAGGACTCTATGCAGACCTCTTCCCTGGGACACCAATTCCAACATGGCTTCTAGAAACATAAGATTATCCCTAGGATGACCCCTCCCTCCCCTCACCCCCATCAAAATACCAGAGTGTGTTGCTCAGTGGCAGAGCTCTTGCTTAGCATTCCCAAGAGCCTGGGTTTAATCCCCAGCACCTAAAAAGTAAAAATAACATACCTGTCTGGAAAAAAGCAAAACCAAATCATAGCTCAAAGCTGCCAGGAGAATTAAGTATTCGTTTTATTCCACATCTGATTGAGAGTGATCCCTGAGCTCGCTTCCTTAGAGCATTTAACTCAGAAGGGTTTTGCAATATCTTGTGAATATCTTGTGAACTCATAAATGCCTCAAGTACCTGAATACCCATCTTGAAAATGTAATCATCTGGAAGAATGGGGTCTCCCTCAGTCTCTTTCAGAGAATAGAATCCTAGCTTAATTGTCAGTTAGCAGACACACCTGACCTCACCACACATGAACTCACCACCCTTTCTGATTTGTCATTTCTCTGACTGGGCTTGAGCCCCAACTCCCTCATTCTCTGTAAAATTTTCAGTCATGTCTGCACAATTGCCACCTTGCTGTCAGTAGTTACTGAAAAAAACAGTTTGCACTGTTTTAATTAATGTTTGTATTAAATTAGTGTTCAGAACGGTGCTGTGTTTTAATTTCTACTTTGGAACTTTTAGTTTGATACTAGTACATGAAAATGGGCTTCTTTTGGCTTAGACAACGAAAATGATAGGTTTGTAAAGGTGAAGTCTGTTGTTTGAGAGCACCCAGCTTCATGGTTGAGAGAAAAGTTAGGCACAGGAAGTACAGTTTTTCCAAAGCTTAACAGCAGGTTCTTTGTCATGTAGTCAGATGTCTTTGATTCAGCTGGAAACAAAGTCACTGTCTTAGCTGAAGGTCAAACTTTTTTGGTAGGGCTGAGCAGCTTTGAAACGTAACAGGGTTGTAAAAGCCATGGTCTAGAAAACTCAGTACTGACTTTAATTTCACCTTGTTCCACTTTATGCTATTGTCCTTGAAATGTTGCTTTCACACACTTATCACCAGAGAAAATTGAATGTAAGTGGAAACAAAAGAGGCACAGAAAGGCCTCCACTTATGGCTCAGTTGGTAGAGTGAGTACCTAGCATGCACAGTGACTTGGGTTTAATCTTCAGCACCACATAAAAGTGGGCATGCTGACACATGTTTAATAAGCCTAGCACTCAGGAAGTAGAGGCAGAATTTGGAGTTCAAGGCCAGCCTGGGTGGGATACATGAGACCCTGACTCTTTTTTTTTTTTTTTTTTTAAGGCATAAAGATTTGGAGTTCTTGTAAGTGCTTGAGTAGGTCGCTCTTTTTTCTTTTCTTATTAATTAAAATTTTTTTTGTGATGGGATGCCCCCATGTAGCCCAGGCTAGCCTTAAACTCATTATGTAGCCTAGGCTGGTCTTAAACTCCTGGTCCTTTTGCCCTCTTCCCCCAAGTGCTAGGATTATAGGCATTCACCACCCCATATCCCTCTCAAGGTATTGAACTCAGTAATTGAAGTTTGCCCATTTCACAAAGGTGAAGTTAAATTTAGCATGGTAAGTATAAATCAGTTAATCTGTATGTTCTGTGCTTGCTGGAATCTGCATCTGCAGTGCTACAGTTTTACCTAGATTTTATCCAACTTTTGTTTGTGGGGTTTGTGTGTGTGCACACATGTGCCTGCCTGCATGCCCTGTGTGTGTGCACGTTCATATGTACCTGTGGAGGTAAGAACACTATGTCTAGTGTCTTCTATTGCTCTATCCCTTATTTCCTGGAAACAGCCTCTCACTGAACAGGAAACTTAACAGATTCAGCTGGGCTGGTTGACCAGGGAATTTTCAGGATCCGTCACTCTGCCCCCCACCCCCCACATGCAGACATGCCCAGCTTTTTCCTTGGGTAATAGGCATTCAAACTTGAGTCTTTATACTCACAAAGCAAGTGCTCTTGTCCACTGACTGAGCCATCTCCCCAGCTCCTTATCCAATTTTTTGAGTCCTAATTCTGGTATTTAGTGTCAACAGTGTGAAATGTTCGGTGTACACATTAGTGTGGCTAGCTCTTGCTTAGACTGGAAACTGAACCAGCTTCATTGGATTAGACCCTGGAGAGGCTGATCAGTACAAAGTCAGCCATTGCTCATAGCCCTTCAAAGAGAGAGCTGTTGAGGTGTTGCTGCTTGGCTTTGGGGCGAGGCAGTGTGGTATGTGGTTGGGGGGATAGTGGACCTAGGACCTGCCTTTGTTTGTGCCTTGGGCAAATTGCTGGAGTCAGAAATTCAAATCCCTACTGTCCTGTTTCTTATTGAGTAACTGAGAAATTTAGACTTTTTGAGTCACATTTTCCTAATCTTTAAGTCTAATTTTTTTTTTTCCATTTATAGAATTACCTGTTCCTTAGCCTTATGGTAAAACTTTTAGTGTCTGTAATCAAAGAATTTCCACAAGGGTTCACTAACATACTAGTTTGCAGTCATGTCTAGGTTGTACAATCTTGTTCAGAGATTATATTTTCAAATACTTTTTGTTTTGTTCTTTTGAGACAGTGTCTCCCTCAGCCTCAGCTGCTTCAGTCTCACAGAGGTCCCCCTGCCTCCGCCTCCTGAGTGCTGAGATTAAAGGGGTGCACCACCACCCTGGCTCAGCTACTTTTTCTTCATTATTAAGTTTTATTTGACGTATGGCAATTAGAACAGAAATGCCACTTTCTTCTATTGTTAATTTAACTTTGGTACTGGGACTTTTGGTGGGGAAAAAGGGAAATAAATTGAAACTTCACTACAAGGCTAGCTTGTCACTCTTTAGAAATCTTATATTTGCCATTTGTTCCTAGACTCACTCACAAATTAATACAAAACTGATATTAGGGTCTTGATTTATGACAGTGAAACACATTAGTGCCACACGGGTAGTAGAGATATAATACATTATTGTGGAATAAAACAGAGAATGTACACAGAATGTAGGAGTAAAAAAAATAAGTTCAACCTCATTCCCCCCACAAAACACCTGTTCCTAGTTTCTGTGACTCCTTTGTAGATCTATTCTTTGCATCTGTGTAAACATGTTAATTTCCTATTTTATGTAAGACAACATGGGAAACTGTCATAGGGGTATTTTTTGTGTCTTTTAAACAGACACAATAAATGTGTTTGTTCTTGTGTTTGTGTAGGGCGCAGACCATCATGAAGGCCCGATTGAAAGGAGCCCAGACTGGCCGAAACCTCCTGAAGAAAAAATCTGATGCCTTAACTCTTCGATTTCGACAGATCTTAAAGAAGATAATAGAGGTAGAATAAACTTTGCTTAGAGCAGTGTGTCTGCTTCCTATATATATGTGGAAAATCAAGTGTGGCCTCTGGTATTTTACATTTTCTTCTTTTTTCCTTTTCTTTTTTTGGGCATGGTGGTTCTGGTGATTGCACACAGGTCTTCATGCATACTAAATTATGCACTTTATCCCTGAAGTTAAGTACCCATCTCCCTAATTTTTCCTTAAGTGATTTAAATCAACTTTTTCTCCTTTGAAAAATGAAAATGCCTTTATAATAAATACTAGAAAAATGCTAGCACATGTACGCATAAAGATTTAAGTTTAGGGGCTGGAGAGATGGCTTAGCACTGACTGTTCTTACAGAGAACCTAGGTTCTGTTCTTACCGCCCACATGGTGACTAACAGCTGTCCTTAACTCCAGTTCCAGGGTCTGATGCCTTCTTCTGGCCTCTGTAGGCATTGCATACGTATGGTGCACTTACATATATGCAGACAAAATATTCATACATAAATTTTTTTTTACAAAGATTTATGTTTCAGAGAGTTCATGTAATAAGATCTGAACTGTCATTATGCCTGCAAAGCCGCTTGATCTCGTCTGCACTGTGCCTGCCTCTTTTGCCTCAGAATTAGCATTCTTCCTAATATCCCTCTCCAGGACTAAGATGTTCTTTCCTTAATCCTTTTCTTTATTGAGATAAGGCCTCACTGTGTAGTCCAGGCTGCCCTCAAACTGGTGATAATCGTCCTACCTCAGCTTCTAAAGTACTGGGATTGCAGGCATGAGCCACTTATATCTGGCTCCCTAGAACTTTTTTAACTGGCTTGTCACTCTACTCTCCTCAGAGAGGCCATTGCTGATCATCTAGTCTGAATGACCACCATTTTTACTTCTGTCACATCTTATTTTTATGGTAATACTACTGCATGATATTTTCTTATTGTATGATTTCACTCCCACTAGAGAATACAAATTCCAGAGAGCAGGGACTTTGTCTTTTCAGCACCTACTTTTCCAGTGCCTGAAATAAGGCCAGCAACATACTATGTTTCAAGTCAGTGCTATTTTGGGTAAATAGTGGGTGATTTACACAGAATAGTGTGTAAATTATGAAGGTTCTTTGCTGTGTCTCTTCTTGCCCACAACAGTCTTGTCTCTTATTTCCCAGAGTAGTTTTTAACACTTTCTAAATATTTCCTTGTTTATTGTAGCTTATGTGTATCTTTGAGTGCAAACACATGCTGCCACATGTGGAGGTCAGAGGACAACTTTCAAGAGTTGGTTCTTCTTGTTAAGGCAAGGTCTCCTTGTCCTACAGCTGAGCGGTGTACTCTTGGCTGGCCAGGTGGCTCTTCTGGCTCTGTCTGCCACCTTGTCATAAAAGTGCTGGGATGATAGATGTGTGCCACTGGATCAAAATTTTTCTTGTTCTTTTTTTCTTTTTGAGACAGGGTCTTACTATGTAGTCCTGACTGGTCTGGAACTTTCTATATAGACCAGGCTGGCCTTCAACTCACAGAGTCTGCCTGCCTCTACCTCCTGAGTGCTGGGACTAAAGGCATGTGCCACCACACCTAGCCCCATTGAAATTTAAAAAAAATTTTCTTGAGCTAGTTTATTTTGTGTATAGGTGGTTTGCCTGCATGTGTGTAAGTGCACCACATGTGTGCAATGCCCATGGAGGCCAGAAGAGGGTGTCAGCTGCCCTGGAACTGGGGTTAGGGGCAGTTGCTAGCTACTATGTGGGTTCTGGGAACCAACCCTGGGTTCTCTGCAGGAGCAGCCAGTGCTCTTAACTGCTAAGCCATCTCTCTAGGCTCCCTTCCTCCCCATTGACATTTTTGATAGATAACTCTAAATTATCTTCCAAATTTTTATATAATTTATATTCTTATCAAATGATATATAACTTCTTTTCTTAAAATTTTTATAAACTGAATATTAATGTTTTTATTTGTTGCCAATTGATTGTGCTAAAGTTGGTATCTTTTATTTGTACTATATTTATTTGTGAAATTGAACAGCTTTTTTTTGTGTTTACTGGTAATTTGACTCTTGGTGAATTTCTTTTTCCATTTTGAAAGAATTCACTATATATTCTGATTAATGTATAAAACACTGAAAGTATTTTTTCTGTTATCTTTAAAGGAAGATTGAGATTTCTTTTGGCTTTCTTAGTTTTTTTCCCTAGTTCTGGGAATTGGACCCAGGGGTTTACATATGTTGGAATCATCAAGTTCTCTTCCACTTACGTACATCCCCTGGCCTTGAATTAAAAAACAAAAGAGCCTTAACTTTTGTCAAATACAGCCTTTAGTTCTCTCCCTGTCCCTCTCCCTCTCCCTCCATCTCCCCTGACCCTCCTTCCATCTCCCCTCTTCTTCTTCCCTCCCTCCCTTTTGAATGGGTCTTATTGTGTAGTCCAGGCTGGCCTTGAACTCATTCCTCTTGTCTTACCTCCCCAGTGCTAGGATTACAGGTGTGAGCTACTATTCCTGGATGACTCTTTCTTTATACAGCTTCTGAGTTATATAAAGCTTATAAAGGCCTAAAAGGGTTAGGAAAACATTCTCTTTTATTTTGTTGCTTTATACCATTTTTTTTTTCTTTTTTAAAAATTTCAAGAGAGTCTTGCTAATTTGCTCAATTTGGCCATGAATTCATGGGCTCAAGCAATTATGGTCTTACTTGTCCTAGTATTTGGGACTACAAGTGCATACTGCCATACCTGGCTTAGTTTTTTGTTTTGTTTTGTTTTTTAATTTTATGTGTCTGTGTGTATTGTCTGCTTGTAGGTAAGTGCACCCGTGTCGTGCAGTGCCTGCAGAAGTCAGAAGAGGGTATCGGATCCCCTGGGACTGGAATTACAGACAGTTGTTAGCTCCCATGTAGGTGCTGGGATTCGAACCCAGGTATTCTGCAAGAACAACTAGTGTTCTTAACTGCTGAGCCATCTCTCCAGCCCCACTGCCATACCTGGCTTAGTTTGTTTCGTTTTGTTTTAACTTTGTTTTGGTTTTCTTGAGACAAATCCTATGAACTCCTGCCTAGTCTTGAACTGCTGTGTGGTGGTGGATGACCTTGAACCATCTTCCTACTTCTATGTCCTAAGTGCCGGGTTACAGGTCTGTGCTACCATGCTCAGCTCATTGTTTTTTTTTTTTTTAAGAAATCTTTCTGGGGCAAGAGGAGATGGTTTAGTGGGTAAGACGGCTTGCTGTGTAAGTGTGAAGACCTGAGTTCAAATCCCCAGCATTCAAGGAAAAAGCTGGGTGTGGTTGTGTGTACCTAGAACCCCAGGGCTATTGGGTTGGGGCCTGGAGGGAAGGTAGAGGATTTGAGGAGTTTACTGGCTGTCAGTCTAGCTCCAGTTTCAGTGAGAGACTGTCTCAAAGGAGCAAGGTGGAGTGATAGAGCAGGATACCCGATGTCCTCTTGCACATACACAAAACACATTTAAAAAAAAAAAAAAAAGAAAAAACCTCTTTCTGTTAGTATCAGCCCCTTTTGGGGAGCGGGGTTGTTCTTATTGGTAGGAGTTGTTTATCACTTTGTAAATAGATGATCACTTGAAATGGTCTCTTTATTATATTAAATTTCTAATATAGACCTGGGTTTGTTTGTGAATTCTCTGTTCAGTTTCTTATCTGTCCCATACCAGGTGTATTTCCTTATTTTAGCATATTTCCTTATTTTAGCAGCTTTTTTTAAGACTTGTCAAGCCAATTCTATACCCATGAGACCCAGTTTCTCTCCTCTTTCAAAAAATTACTGGATAGTCCTAAGTCTTAAATTTTCCAGGTATACTTTAAAATCAGTATGCCAATAGGATTTTTGTGAACGAATTTAAAAGATTTGAGCAAATCAGCACTCACTTATCCAAGAATATGGTAAGTGCTTCAATAGATTCAGTTTTCTATTTGTCTGTGAATTTATTATTTTATGTGTATGAGTACATCGCCTGCATGTAAGTGCATCCATGTCATGCAATGCCCGAGGAGGCCAGGAGAGGGCGTGGGATCTTGTGGAACTGGAGTTAGGGTTGTTAGCTATCATGTGGGTGCTAGGAATTGAATTTGGGTCTTCTGTAAGAGCAGCTAGTGCTCTTAACTGCTGAGCCATCTTTCCAGCCCTATGAATTTATTTAAATGTCTTAATTCTAAAGCTCATGGTTTTATAATATTGTTAAGTGACCATGACCAAAACTGTTCAGAATTTGAGCTTTATTTATTATCAAATCAGTTTTTGATGCTGATATATATATATATTTTTAGATTTAATAAATGTTTATAGCTGATATTTTTTAGTGTAAAATAGTGATGGTTATTAAAGGAATTTAATTATGATGTGATTTTTCTTTATAAAAATTTGGTTGACCCTGCTGTTGGGTCATCTTTTCCAGACTAAAATGCTGATGGGTGAAGTGATGAGAGAAGCTGCCTTTTCCCTGGCAGAGGCCAAGTTCACAGCAGGGGACTTCAGGTAAGATGACCAACTACGCATTTAACAATGCAAGGTGTTTTCAAGTCGTAACTTCACACAAAATTTTAATTTTAAAATATATAAATGGGCAAGGCAGTTTGTCAGTTAAGAGTGTTTGCTGCTCTTGACAAAAAACAAAAAACAACAACAAAAAAGTGTTTGCTGCTCTGGAAGAGGATCTGAATTCAGTTCCTAGTACCTCAGTTGGGTGGCTTACAACTGCCTGTAATACCAACTCCAGGAGGAGCTGATGCCTTCTTCTGGACTCTACTGGACCTGCATGGACATGTGTGTATCATACACACATAATAAAAATTTTTTAAAAATGAAAAAAGTAGAAACATTAAAGACAAATGATATAGTAATAGGAACACTCTTAGCCTATTAATACTACTGCATTTACCTTCCAAGTATATCTTTTCTAGTTGCAGATTGAAATATTACACCATTTTGCTTGTATCACAGGTCTAAATTATTTTTATATACTATAATTTATTGGCCTCTTCTAATGCTGGATATTTGGGTTGAATCTTAGATTTTTTTTGGAATACTAAGTACAAACTGAACATTTTCATGCATATTTTATTTCTATTGAAATATTTCTTTAGGATGAATTTTTGAGAATGGAATACATTTTTCAAAAATCGGGAGCTTTATGGCTTTTATCATGTCATTATAACTTTTCAAAGCATACACAATGGTATGCAAATGGATTATGTCAATTTATTCCCTCATGATTCGTTCCCCTGAAGTTATATGCTATTTAGGGACAGTGATGGAAGTTGTTTTCAGAGCTTTTGATTTTTAATTTTCTTGTCAAATGTCATAAGGCCTCCTTTTTGTGGGAGGTTTTCCTGCTGGGGAAGGCCTTACAGTTCAAGGGTCAAGGGGCCAGTTGAAGTGGTAGGCTTTACTTTTGCTGATAGGATACTATACTAAATTGCTTTTATACTTCATCAGAGGGAGAGTTAGTAATGTTTTATGGTAGTTATGGAAGAAAATTATTTTAGCAGTTTTTAACATTTATATTTTATGTCTGTGTTTTGCCTGCATGTATGCAGGTGATTGCATACAATGCCCATGGAGGCTAGAGGCGGCATCAGAATCCCTGGATGAGGATTGTTAGCTGTCATGTGGATGCTGGGAACTGAACGTGGGTCCTCTGTAAGACTAGCCAGTGCTCTTAACCACTGAGCACTCTCTCCAGCCCCCAGTTACTGTTTTTTAATAACAAATGGAGAGTTGGGTGAACCCAGAGAAAGAAGTTAGGACAGAGGATTGTGAGCACCAGTTTAACAGTTGAACAGCAAACCGGGAAGGAAAGTTTTCTTCAAATTTACATTAACAGAATAAACCCAAGTTCACATCTGTGCATTGACTAAAAGCAGTTAGTCCACATGCTTTACAACCATTCTTGGTTGGTTGTTATGGCTAGTGTTTAGCTGTTGCGTATTACTGACAGTGCTCTTTGTAAGGCCCTCTTCTGGCAGGAGTGATTTTTCTTTTTTGGAATAAACATGATTCGTTTCATTTCAAGGGCTGATTGGTTTCATCCAGTGGCTTACTTTTTAAAAGACAACTGAATAAAAGGGTTTTTTGTTTGTTTATTTGTTTCTCTGCAGCACCACAGTTATCCAAAATGTAAATAAAGCCCAAGTGAAGATTCGAGCAAAGAAAGATAATGTAGCAGGTAAGAATCAACCCTTGAGACCTCTTGGAGGATAAAAGGTGACATTTTGTTGTTAACCACTTATATGTCCATATCTTTAAAAAAATAAATTATGTGTATAAGAGGGGATAGGACAAGGGTCCTTGGAGTTTAGAAGAGATTGCTGGATCCCTTGGAGCTGGAGTTACAGGTGGTTGTGTGTTGCCCAATGTGGGTGCTGAGGACCAGACACAGGTCCTCTGCAAGAGCAGTACATACTCTTAACAACTGAGTTATCTCTCCCCATATGAGAATATCTTGATACCTAGATTTCTCTTAGAACAACTTGATGGCATGTTAAGAACATGAACAACCAGGTACCTGGTACTTAGAATAGTTTAACTTTTCATTTTAAAAGATTCTTCAAAAATTATTTTTATTTATTGTAAATACGTGTATCTATGTGAGTGAATGGAATCTGTGTACGGGTGCCTGTGGAGACCAGAAGAGGGCTTTGAATCCCCTGGAAAAGAAGTTACAAGTGGCTATGAGCCACCCACAGAAACTTAACTAAACTCATCTGGAAGAACAGTAAGCACTCTTAAACCACTGAGCTATTGCTCAGTCCTTAATTTAAGTAGAAATGAATGCTTGACAAGGTACATTAATTGAAACCATTTACAATTCCAGACTTAATCTCACTTAGTGTTTGATGAAAAGAAGTGTAGGAAACAGAGACTGAGTAGTAGGAGGAGTACTCCTTCATCTGGGTGGCATGGCACATGCCAGCTCTAGGGAGCCTGAAGCAGAGGAGTTCCAGAATATTAAGCTGAAGTTTGTAAATTCATTTGTGCATCTTCATTGTCTTCATTAAACAGGTGTCACCTTGCCAGTATTTGAACATTACCATGAAGGAACTGACAGTAAGTAAAATTATCTTAAGATACTTCATTTTACCCTTGGAATACAGTTGTCATTTGCCATTTTAAAAATTTGAGGCTTTATTTTTTTTGGTTTTTGGGTTTTTTTATGGCATTAAAAAAAGAATATATTTCTTATTGACTTTATATCTTGCAACATGTTCAGATTAGTGGAGTTTTTAATGTATAATATGAAAATAAGATTCTTATATCATCTCGGTACCTCAACCTCCAATAACCTTCTCTACTGCGTCAACACAGCCTTTCATGTACAGGGAGCTTGGATTATTTTTTTAAACAAGAATTTTTTTTTTTTCCCCAAAACTGATCAGTTTGAATTTGTACTTAATAAAACTGAAGTATAAAAATTTGGAAGCATGTGGCCATTTGTAACACTAAAACATAGGATACATTTGAGAGTGAAGGTGCTCGTGCATATACCCTGCTAGCCCTCTCCTGGTAAGCCTTCAGATCTAAATAAGATAGATTGCAGATGAAATTCATTTATGTTATCATGATCATGATTCATCATGTGTAATCACTGAAAATTATATATGATTTATGCATTAAAGCTTTTGGAAGGTAGGCAGTATTTTTTGGAAGGTAGGCAATTTTATTAAGGTAATATAAATTTTATATATCCTAAAAATTAGTATTAAATGTTTGTTTTTATATCAATATTATAATACTTTCCATTGAACTTTATTCACTTTTGATAGCTAACAGAATACAGGGTTCCATTTGGAGCAATCATTACCTTTACTATTTCTGTTTGGAATTTCAGAGAACTACATTTTCCAACTCATTTCAGTCAACATTACTATTCAAAGTGATACAATGTGGGTCATTAACATGGATTTCAACATTTTATCTCTATTTTACTGTTTTTGATATTCACACTCTCAAACTTTATAGTTCTTTGCCTCTTAGAACTCTTTTTTTAAAAAATTATTTAGTTAATAACCATATAATTAGAAGAAGCATTTCATTACAACAGCATTGACATATTCAATAACAATTTCCAGAGCTAAGATGCATCTCTTTC